GTGGGTCGGGCTGTCAGCTGTGTTTTTAATATGCACGTATAGAAAATGATCTGCAGGTTAATCCGTCTGTCTTCATAAAAAACAAATACTGTGAAAAAGCTCCACAGACCTGGAGTCAGCTGGTGGAAGAAGGCTGCCAGCAGTTCAGGTAAAGCAGAGTAATGTGAACACCAACATTCTGACTGAGAGGTTGCCGGTTCAGATCCCTGCAGCTGCAGATGGTGACTGATGGCGGGTCTCTGACTGGAGGTCGGCCTTTGACCTGAGCTGTGCTCAGTTAATCCTCAGCCTTTCTTTAATCTCTGATAAACGCAGTAAAATGGAGGAATAATCCTCCCGTCCCTCCTCCTGCAGTCCATTTAGCCGCCAGCGCCTTACTCTTCTACCGCTAACCACCTCCTCCCATTCACCCGCTTTCTGAAGGCGTCTTGGTGCTGATGTGCTGCTTCTGGGAAACAGAAAAACGCAACGATGAGTTCAGAAGAACGGAGAGCTGCTCGTCTGCTCAACGCCACAGAGACACGACCGACACAAACTCGTGTATTTATGTGGAAATGTGGGTTTTAAAAACTAGATTCCTTCTCGTGAAACCGTCATAGCAACTGACCAGAAAGATACCTCTGACCACAGACATGTCTGTAACTGAACCGCAAAGCCCTCCGAGCTCAGCGGCGTTTCCTCTGTGTTCATGAAGATGAAGAAAAGTCCAGAATAAGCCGATTTCTTCCCATCATTCATCCAAGTGTCTCATCCAGCTCTGGATTTTCTTTAGAGAGTAGCTTTGTATGATTCAGAGTTACGTCTTATTCTGATTGGCTGACTTCTGCTTTTGAGCTGTAATCATTAGATTTCTGTGCTTGTAGAAAAACCCACCCGGCTCCTTCGTACCTGCTCGATGATTATCGTGTTTCTGTGGTGTGTTATGCTTGACTGGTGGGTCGTGAACAGAAAACTGCAAATTTGAGCTTATTTGTCATAAAACCTGTCACATCCCACATTTCCAGACTGGGCAGGAAAAAGGCTTATTCTAATATGACTGCTGTGTGTGCACACAGTAGAAACACAGAGCAAACACTGCTGTCTCTTTGTCTCCAGGTGTGGTTGCCTCGACACGAGTGTCCCGGTTTCAGGGTCCCGTTTTTCCATTTGCGGATCATTTTGTGATTTTTTTCAAAGTTCAAAGTTCAAAGTGCTCGCTGCAGTTTGATGTGAATCTTTGATCACAAACAATGAGAGCAGGAAACATCCTCCCAGTGTTGGAGTGACGAAGAAACCTTTTCACTCTTCGGATGAAAGCACGTTTACTTCCACATAGCAAAGAAGTTTTATGGCACCATAAACACACATGCTGACACACATACATATAAGCACACACACACACACACACACACAACACACACATACACACACACACATACACAACACACACACACACACACACACACACAGTGCAAAGGTCTTGAGCCTCCATCATGTGTTCATATTTGAGTGAGGGTTTTCCAGCCTCTGAATGCCAACAACGAATCAGACTCGGTTTTAACAGCCTTGGAAATGAAGCATGAGGACGCACAGGGAGGTCCACAACCCGGGACGCTCGTGTCCACAGACACACTCAACAATAATCACTTTCACGCCGACTTTCCATGAAATATTTTGAGATATTGTAAATGAAGCTAAAGTGACAGTCTATTTTCTAAAGATTTATTCCTCCCACTCTTTGTTTTCACACATATTTGTGCTGCTGTTTGAGATTTCCAGAGTACGTTTTCTACGCTCACAGTGATGTTTCTGTTGTAAAGCTCAGTTTGTGATGTTTCTGTAATAAACAGGTTTGTTTACGCTGACCTTCATGTTGCTATTCCTCCTTCCATTAATGAACTGAACTTCTCCTCATCGTTTGGAGTACACCAAAATATTTTAACATTTCAGTTCGAAACCATCAGTAAAAAAATGAGCATCAAATTTTTTTACCATATTTGGAAAAGAGGTGGTGTACGTATTAAACTGGCTTCACTTTGAACTTAGGCTGATGCTGTGTACTTTCAGCTAGAGACACGATTTAGTCTTTAAGAAAATACCAGGACACTAAATATTAAAGTTGTTTTCATCTTTTTCACATTTTTTTCTGCTTTTGCTCAAAGTTTAGGCTTTTTTTTTTTTTTTTTAAATTTATTTTTAGGTACCTGCTAAGTGCCAGATAGACACTGTAGTTTGAGGACGTTCCCTCAGGAGCAGGTTCAAGTTGTCTCTGAATCCATCCCGTGACCACATTTATGACACAGTAACAGAAAAAGAAACTTTTGTGGAAAAACTCGCAGTTCAAAAACTATTTTGATAAAAGATACGATCTTGAATTTGGAAGGACTGGGTCACAATCCAAATTTCACAAATTTATTTGCTCCAGAGTGACAGGAAGTGGAGATGTTGTCATGGCAACAATTCTGAGGACTGAAGCTCAACTGACAGCTGAGCTTATTAGAATCTGACGGAGTCTTCAACAGGCACCTTAACTCAGTTTAGCTTACAGCAGCAGTTTCTTCAAGGTGCTTTGTATCGTAAGGTGAGGACTCTACAATAATAAGGAGAAAACCCCCAAAATCAGACGACCCCGATATTAGCAAACACTTGGCAACAGTGGGAAAGAAAAACTCCCTTTTAACAGGAATCTCCAGCAGAACCAGGCTCAGGGAGGGGCGGGGCCATCTGCTGGGGGTGAGGGGAGGACGACAGGACAAACAGCCAGAGATTAATAAAAAGTTTAAGTCATGTTATCATCCATCCATCCTTCCAAGTACGGATGGATGATTCAATGCAGTCACTCACATAGTGAGTGAGAAAGGTGACTGGAAAGGAAAAACTCAATGCATCATGGGAATCCCCGGCAGCCTACGTCTATTGCAGCATAACTAAGGGAGGATTCAGGGTCACCTGGTCCAGCCCTAACTATATGCTTTAGCAAAAAGGAAAGTTTGAAGCCTAATCTTAAAGTAGAGATAGTGTCTGTCTCCTGAATCCAAACTGGAAGCTGGTTCCACAGAAGAGGGGCCTGAAAACTGAATAATGAATTACAGTCGTCCAGCCTGGAAGTAATAAATGCATGAACTAGTTTTTCAGCGTCACTCTGAGACAGGATATTTCTAACTTTAGAGATGTTGCACAAATGGAAGAAAGCAGTCTTACATATTTGTTTAATATGTGCGTTGAAGGACATGTCCTGGTCAAAAATGACTCCAAGGTTCCTCACAGCGTTACTGGAGGCCAAGGTAATGCCATCCAGAGTAAGAATCTGGTTAGATACCATATTTCTAAGCTTTTCAGGGCCGAGTACAATAACCTCAGTTTGATCTGAATTAAGAAGCAGAAAGTTAGCGGCCATCCAGGTCTTTATGTCTTTAAGACATTCCTGCAGTTTAACTAATTGGTGTGTGTTATCTGGCTTCATGGACAGATAGAGCTGGGTGTCATCTGCATAGCAGTGAAAATGTATGCTATGTCTTCTAATGATGCTGCCTAAGGGAAGCATGTATAATGTAAACAGAATTGGTCCTAGCACTGAACCCTGTGGAACTCCATAATTAACCTCAGTGTGTGAAGAGGACTCTCCATTTACATGCACAAACTGGAGTCTATTAGATAGATATGATACAAACCACTGCAGCACAGTACCTGTAATACCTACAGCATGTTCTAATCGCTCTAATAGGATATTATGGTCGACAGTATCGAACGCTGCACTGAGGTCTAGCAGGACAAGCACAGAGATGAGTCCACTGTCAGAGGCCATAAGAAGATCATTTGTAACCTTCACTAAAGCTGTTTCTGTGCTGTGATGAGCTCTGAAACCTGACTGAAACTCTTCAAATAAACCTCTGCAGATGATCTGTTAGCTGTTTGACAACTACTCTTTCAAGGATGTTTGATATAAAGGAAGGTTGGAGATTGGCCTATAATTAGCTAAGACTGCTGGGTCTAGAGATGCTTTTTGAGTAAAGGTTTAACTACAGCCAGCTTGAAGGCCTGTGGTACATAGCCGATTATTAGAGATAGGTTGATCATATTTAAGATCGAAGAATTAATTAATGGCAGGACTTCTTTGAGCAGTTTTGTAGGAATGGGGTCTAAAAGACAGGTTGATGGTTTGGAGGAAGTAATTATTGAAGTTAACTCAGAAAGATCAATTGGAGAAAAAGTATTGTAATATCAGTGGCATTGGATTTGGTATTTTCTCTAATGGTTAAAATGTTATTTTACTAGTTAATGTTAAAGGAATGGTTGGCTCAACAGCATTTTTGTCAGCCTGGAGACGAACCTGATGTTCTTTTCATCAATCACTGATCAAAAGAACATCAAGATATTGGAGCTTTACAGAGGCCCGTTTTGTTGAAGAGCAAGTTCTACCAGGGACTCACGTACTTGTGATCTGAGGCATTTGTTTTCAGAGGACCCAGTATCCAGAGTCCTTGCACAGAAGATGTAAAATTATTAACATGATCAATCTCTTTGCGAGTTCAGGTAGCTGCTCTGAGCTGTGGTGGTACACAGCTACAAGAAATCCTTTGACTTAGTGACAGCACTTTCAGAAAGTCGTCTGCTGTGATGACGTATGTTACCCACTGCTGTGGAATCCATTATTGTAGATTTTAATGTTAGAAATAAATGAGGGCTTCAGGGATTATTATTAAATGATGTTCAGTTTCTATGGCACAAATGCCAGAACAGGCTCCAGAGAGTAGAGCTCATTACTGTAGTATCTCTACATTAAAATATAATCTGCTTTGAGGTGACTGTTGGTGCTGCATCAATAAACTAATCGATCTACTAATAGATTAAATGTACTGTTGATGTTATTTTCCGCATTTACATGAATGTTTAAATCTGCCATTGAAATTATTTTTTCTGAGCGGAGCACAAAATCACAAAAGT